TCTTTTCAAGGAAATTCTTGCGAAAACTCTTTCGGGACATCTGGAGCTCGTTTAGCCAGGAGAAAAAGCAACGCGAAACGTTTCAAAAAGCATGTTTGCTCACGCGTTCTTCAGGCCGTCACGTGTAAAAGATAGTTACACCATAAACGTTAGCCAATATGATTTCTTGGCTGGATGACTTTTTAGCATGTGGTCTTTGTCTTTCTTTTTCTACGTCAATGACGAGCTGAAAAAAGCCGCGGGCATTTTTGTTTGGCAGCTAAAGGCTCACTTTAACTATTAATGGCAAATGAGTAAGTATACGAAAAAAGCCCGCGTTTTAACAGTTTCTCATCCACGTCGATCGTAGTTCTGGTCCGTTGTTATGATACTTCTTGCAGAAGGTTTCACTTTGGTTAGTGATGGATCAAGGATATTGAACTCCTCAACATTTGCTTCAGTTCGTTAGGTCTTGAGTACCCTTATAAACGTGGTGCAGCCGGGGTAAAATTGGATAACTATGCGTCACGTATGCAGTTTGTGTGTTACTGTATAGGAGCTCAACCAGAAGGCAAACAGCCAGCAAGGCTTGAACACAATTCAGTGATAATTCCGAAGCTTTTATGCAGGTATTTGTTTACAAATGACACATAATATGTTTCCTGATAACAGACTCATATTCTCCTCTTTAATAGACGGGCAATTTTCTTTGAATATTCTCTCTTGCATGCCGGTCTAGGTAGTAACAAAACAAACTCATGTGTAACTAAAGGTTTTTTGATCCTGCCCAAAGAGACAGACTAACCATTTGTCCATTGAGCTTCTAATTCTGGCTCTATGCTTAACAGCTGAGAATTCTAGACACTTCTCGTTGCTAACACTCTTGTGTTGCTAAACAGTCTGGAACATCCACTACAAGCACAAGCACAAGGGAAACTTACAAGTCCACTGAGTAACTCACCGCATTAAAATAACCTGTTATAGCTTACAAGAGTACGTGCCCAATTAATATTATGCGGCAGAATATAGCCACATTTTGTTGCTGATAACCGTGTTTATTAAAGACCCGACAACGTTTACAGAAGTTTCCTTATTCATGAAATGGCCAGTTCAGATCTGAACTGACCATTTCCATCGTGAAAGGCTGTGAATTGAAAAGCACTTTCAGTGGTTATTAAAAGACAGTTCAGTTTAACGGCATATCTCACATCTAGTAAAACCTGACTAAATAATTTTTTGGATTTGGTTGCAAAAGGGGCTGAAGGTGTTCAGGGACTTGCAGACTGAGACTGGTTCCAGTTTAACGCTTTATTGGTTTTTAATCAGAGTTACTTTAACTATACTCTGCTCGAATGACTATGTCATTTAAGCTAACAGCAACGCGACATCGAAAACATGTCATTTACGATCATTTACAGCGCATTGCATGGCATAGCTGATACATATTTAGTAATATATTATGAAAAGTATCTCTCTGTTCCTCAAGAAAGTCAGTATGATCCAGTATGCTCAGTAAAAAGCAAGCCGGAAACACGAAGAAAAATACTTCCCTCCCGGACTGTTTTTGTAGGAATAAAGATATCTTTGGTTCGTTTGAACGAAGTTTGTTCTGCACCTTGACAAGGGATTGTACTGATGTATCCCCAAAGTAACTCTTTTTTCGTTTAGTTTTTAAAAAGGTCACTTTATTTGGTCAAGTCAGCAATGACCATTTGTTTACCACTTATAAGAATTCCTGACGTAGAGAGCTGAACTAAAATCACCTCGAGTGTGGTAATCAGTCTCTGACAATACGAAACAGATCAGCGTTGAAGCCGAAAGCGATGGCACACCAACTGTTAAACAATGGCAACAATACCAAACTTTAATTTTACACATCTTACACTTTATTCACCGTATTCTCCGAACACATGGTGTGTATTAAATTTCTTTACCCAAACACTTTCTGATGATTGCAACTTAGCAACGTAGCAAACAGAAATAATATTAAAGAAGTTGGCAACATAATTATAGGTTATTTTGTCACAGAACCATGCATGAACGCTATAATCTAAATTTAAATTTGTGTTTATTTTTAGTTGCTTTGTTTTTATGCTCTGTATTATAGAATATTATATTTATTTATAATACTATATCTTTATTCCGCCAACGGCTTCTTAAAAATAACTCTGATGAAACTACCGAAGTTCTCCCGAGGAGAAATTTCTGTGCGCTGAGCAGCGAAGTGCATTCCCCCCGTTACCAATTATCATGCAGATTCTTATAGAAAGAAAGACTTATCACGATAGTTAATTTGTTAAATTATATGGACACCAAGAGACACAAAAAATGACGCGTTACTAAGGCTAGGTTAGATTGCCAAAATATTGTCTTCTTGGGACATTAAAGCGAAATAATCTTCACCACTTAACTACCAACAAATTTCTTGCTTGATGGCTTCCGGATGGTTTCCAAAAGCTCCGAGTAACTTTCAAGAAATTTGTTGCTTGAAGAATATTTTTTTGTAATGTTGAGAAATTTC